TTGCCGCACCGGCACCCAAGCCTATCGTACTCCAGGCGCCCGCACCCGCCCGAGTCCAGGTCGAGGAGAACTACGGCCCGGCTGAGCCCTACACCTATGGCTACCAGTCCACCGATGAGCAGGGTAATACCCTGAGCAGATCGGAGACCTCCGATGGATCAGGTGCTGTTAGGGGCAGTTACTCGTACACCGATGCCAATGTAAGTTATCATTATATTTTTTTTATGTATGTAGGTGGTTTTGACATTTTAAATTTTTTTTATTGTATCAGGGTCTGAACAGAATTGTTGAGTATGTGGCCGATGCCGGTGGATATAGAGCTACCGTTAAGGCCAATGAACCTGGTACTGCCAACGCTAACCCCGCTGATGTTCAGGTAAATAATGAAAATTAATTTTTAATAAAAAGAATATTTTATAATTTGCATGAAATGCATATTATATTATTTAGTGAGTTTGGTTACAGTTTAGTAACTAAACCATAGTTGAAAAAAATATTAATTTAAATTATAAATGAAATTAATAGTACTGTGTGCTGGCAACTCCCATTATTAAACAGTATAAGATTATACAAATACTACAAATTAGAAAATAATAATTTAATTAGTTTTAAAAATTAAAATCTTTTATAAATGTGCTTGATATAAATTGTCAAATTTTACTTTTACTAATAAACAGATCGCCGCCGAAGAGGCCCTGGCACAGGTACAGCAAATAGTCGCCGCCTACTCGGCCCCCAAAGCCCAGAGATTTCAATAGGTCATCCCCCTGGTGGACAGTTAGCTCAAAATTAATAAAACTTGCTTTGCTCAAACTCCCATTCCCTTATATCCAATACGCATACATATCATTAATAAATAAAAATGTCATAAACTGGTGATGGTGGTGGTTCCCCTACATTCCCCCTATATAAATTAAATACAATCTATTTTGAATTTTTATCAAGCAACAGAGAGTCACACAATTCAATCAAAATATTTTTGTACACATTCAAAGATCCTAGTTGCAAATTTTTAAATAAGCATTGAAAAAATGTAGATATAATTATGATTAAAATACACAACTTATTGAAATAAAATTGCTTTTCAAGAAAAATTTCTTTTTTTCATTTTTAAAAATATATATTTTTATCGATAATGTTTACTCATTTAAATTTGGATTTTAATAGATTTAACAATTAAATATTATATATTTATAAAGTTACGACCATATAACACCGTATTAGGTTACGCTTAAAACAACCTTATAACGCTTATAAAACAAGTTTAATTATAAAAAAATTAAATTTATTTAAAAGTTACTCAAAACTATAATGCGATAGAGAATCTCTGTATTCCAGTTAAATATTAATAAACAAATGTTGGATAAATGATACATATTTAAAATATATTGTTACAGTTATATATGAGATGTTTTAAAAATATAAATAATCTCGTTTAATTGAATTTAAATATGGGACTCACTGAAATGCCATACAAGCCATATAAAAGTGAGAGAGTTAGGTATTCTTTGATTAGTATTAAATATTAAGATTTTATTAATTTTTTACAAACTTATTAATACCGTATATACCAATGAGTTTCACTTATTTCAAATTATGTCAACTAGTGGTGTATATACTTAATTCATTTTTAGCGTTAAACACAAATTTTTATACAGCAATTCAACACTAGTTATTTAAACCTTTATAAGTTTTAGTCATAAACATTACAAATATAATAGGTGAAAAATATTAAAAGTTTGTTAATCATAAAATGAGCATATACTTTAATCGGGAGTGGTACATTTGCCCGAAATACATTTGCCCGAAAAATATTTGCCCGAAATACACTTGCCCGAAATACTTCTGCCCGAATACATATCCTCGAATAAACTTGCCCGAATGACATTTGCCCGAAAATAAAACGAATGTATTAATGAAATATAATATAACTAAATATAATAAAACTATATATAAGTTTTAATAAATTAGCAAATAGGTAGAAATAAAACAATACAAAACAGTTTTAAATGTTCCGTCTATTATCCAAAATGGTGGTCTACTCAATATCTCTAAATTATTAACATTAAGAATAAAATAAAACATAAGTATCAATAAAACAAAATATAAGCATAATTTTATTTTCGGGCAAATGTCATTCGGGCAAGTGTATTTCGGGCAAATGTCTAGGAACGCTTTAATCAAGTTTATCTTATTTTATACAAATTAATGTAGTTTTGAAAATGTGATTTATATGTAATAATCATTTTATGATTATAAACATTGAATCTAAAAATTGTTTGAACATTAATATATTTGTAATTTTGAATGTATATTAAGTTTTTTATAACTAAGGCTCTTAAAAATTTTTAAGTTTATTAAGTATAGTTGATTAGACTATTAGTTTATCATCCCTATTTCTTGGTGATTTTAACTTTTGGAACACAATGGTATATACTAATGTTAAATTAATTTAATAATTATAAATGGAATCTCATATAAATAGCTCTCTCTCTCTCCCTCCCAATAAGGACCACGAAATAGTAAGTGAAAGTTATTTATATGTAATTTACAATTAATGTCTTTGAAATAAAGAAAAAATATTTTGTTGCTATGATTGTAAAAAAGATGTTCGCTGATTGAGACTACCTGTCCCTTCCCATCCCTGTGCGCCAGTATATAAGCGCCTACGACTGGACAGGTTTTAGTTTGTAATTTACAAAAAGTTTTGTATTAAGTTTTATTTAATTTGTTATTAACTTTGAAAATATTCTTAAGGTATGAATGAATTTAAACGTGATAGTTTATAATATTTTTTGTTTACTTTTTATAATATAATTTTCAGACTGTTACTTTTAAATAAATAAAAGAAAATTTTTAATAAATAATTTTACAAATGGGGCCATAAAACGCTCGTTATTTTCCGGATCACCTTATAATTACTAATATAATCTTTGTTTTATTATCAAAATATTTTATTATATTGACCATTGAGTTACCTAAAAATGATAAAACTTACATTTTGTTTTAATTAAAAGTAATTTACTGTCCACATTTTATTAAATGCGCATGTTTTTTATATAAATTAAATTTATTTAAAATTAATAAAATTACTAAATATTAAGGTCATGTTAATGTTAGTATATCAATGTATTGTTAGTGATAGTGTGCACCAGATTGCCAATTTGATAATGATAGGCTATCATTGATAGCTCTTAAGCATACTTAAATAAATAAAATGATTTTAAATTTGTGACTTGTAATATTTTAGAAAAGTGCTGCCCAGTATAAAACTTATATAGTTAGCCTTGTTTAGTATGCCAATCAATGGTATACATTTATTTCAATGATCAATTTTTATTTTAAACTTTAATTTAATTGAACATTAAAACATTAAGTAAACTAATTAAATATATCATCACAGAATGCATTAATTAAAGTGTTAAAAGTAATGGTAGAAAATAAAGGGTAATTCTGAAGCAATAAAACCCGTTTATTTATGAACTGGTTCAATCAAAAAGTAGAAAAAATAAAAATATTCAATAATTTTAAATGAATACAAACTATAGGGATATTCTTTTCAAACCAAGGATTTGGTATTTAAAATAAAAATATTAAACATTTGAATATTTAAATGAAAAGTGCACCAAAATGTTCACCAATAATGAACATTTTATGCTTATGTCACCAAAACCCGTTTCGCACATATATTAGCGACTCATCACTCAAACGGTATTTATTGCTTGCATTCAAACACTTCAAAAGAGTAGACTTTCCCGAACCCGACGCTCCCATCAATGCATTCAGTGATCCCGACCTAAACCCTCCCGAAATACCGTCCAGTATAACCTTCGTCTGCCTTCCCGTCCATGTCATGGGGTTCACTGTTAGGTCTGTCCACGCGATCGCTATATCCCTGTCCATCATTATTATGTGTTATTTATATTTAGTTCTTTATTCAACCGAATATATTGAAATTATTAATAAACAGTAATTTTAAAATAAAAAGTATCTTAATATTTCTAATTATGTTTATTCAACTTTCACTTTTACATCAAATTTACTTAAGTTTATTTATAAACTTATTATGAATATTAATATATTATTAAAACAATACTTATAAAATAATAATTGAGTTTATGCAAAAGTAAAAATGTTTTTAAAAAACTGACACCAAACATTATATAAAATAAATCGTAAAGTTTTATAAATGCTACAAAGTTATAGTTTTCATATTTATAAAACCTTGATTTTTAGCGAATTGACATTGAACATTGACTGCTATATAATATAGCTTATATTAAAGATAGCGGCAAAGTGAAAATAAAATGTTCACTAACATGTAGGTGTTTTTCATAGAAAATAAATTATCGAGTTGAAAGCACTTTTAATTTCAAGGTTATACAGGAAAATATTGCTATAATTTTTTACACATAACTTGTTTTGAGACAGCATTTGTTTAATTATTAGTGAAAACCCCCATTCTTACACCACCCTATTTTAAACTAAAATCGTATTGTTTTAATCATTTTTACTATTAATTGTATAGTTTTGGATGCATATTTAATTAGGGTACACTATGTTTCAAGTAAAACAATAACTTAATTAATTCACATGACATTGATTTTTATTAAACCCATTTAGATGACATTGAAGTGGTGTTGTAATAAGCCACATTTATTGCCAGTCAAATATATACGTGAGTGCCATGTTCAATTAGAGTATGTATAAAGAAAATTAAATTATTTGAAATACTCACAGTTTACGACATATATAGGGATATTCTTTTCAAACCAAGGATTTGGTATTTAAAATAAAAATATTAAACATTTGAATATTTAAATGAAAAGTGCACCAAAATGTTCACCAATAATGAACATTTTATGCTTATGTCA